TCAGACACATTCAGGGTGCACACTTCCGTCAAAAGAGAAGAAACTGGATACGATAATACTCGCCTATAATCCCAACCTGGGGGTGGTAGTGGGGGACAGGTGTCATGAGTTCCTCAGCTATATAGGTTTCAAATAAAAACCAAAAATAATAAAATATAGGAGCAACAGATTGGTAGAATTAATATTTTCCACCCCTACTTGTTTTTTGTCTAGTTTTCTGAGCTTTTTGTTCCTATTTGAGCCACTCTGCTTCTAAAAAAGTTGAGAAAAGTCATATTATGTTGATATACTTAAATAGAGGTATGTTCATAAGTGTTCTTTCATCATTTTAAAAAGTTGCAGGCAAACAGAAGTAATTTTAGTGTACTTTCAGATAGCTGACCTCAAATTCATATGGCTGTGTCAGGAATGATTGTAAAATAAACCAGGGCATTAAATAGAACTGAGATACATGTCTGGTGTCTCCCTGCTTTGTTACTGACAAGTAAAAAATATTCAAAAAAATTTATTTAATAACCACATAATTAGTAGAAGCATTTCATTACAATAGCATTGACATAGTCAATAACAGTTTCCAGAGTAAAGATTCATCTCTTTCAAAATTGGATGCAATTTTTAGGTTCAGTGTTGAATTAATACAGTTATATATTATTGTACTCAGTATAAACCCTAAAAAACATAAAATTGAATGAGGTTTGATTTTTGGTGTTTTTACATCTATGAGTACATTGCCTGCATGTATGTGAGTGCACCCATGTCGTGCAGTGCTGCAGAGGTCAGGAGGTGGCGTTGGATTCCCCTGGAACTGGAGTCAAGGACAGTGTGTAGCCGCTATGTGGTGCTGGGACTCGAACCCGGGTTCTCTGCAAGAGCAGTCAGTGCTCTTAACCGCTGAGTCATCTCTCCAGCCCCTTTAATGAGGTTTTAACCTTTAAAAATGATCTCCATTTCATTTTAGAATATACTGTTTCACACAGAAAAACTCATTTTTAATGCAAATAACACTTGGATGTTTGCACATGCGTCTCTAATCTCTGTATAGCTGATTATTACTAGTCACAGTCGGTTACTTTCTGAGATCCTTGACACCTGAGCATGGATATAAACTCATCAGGTAGATTTCAATGGTAATGTTTTTCATATCTACTAATTAACATGGAACAAATTTTTATGCTTCTTCATCAAATATAACTCATTTTTTATTTGATTTTTTTAATTTCATACAGAACATCCCAAACAATCTCATTCATCTTTATATCTGCACCCCAAATGGTACCCTCCCATAGCCTCCCCCCACCCTCATACTGCAGCCCATATACTCTGACATCCCTGTTACTGTCCACTGTGTTATCAGTGCCCCCAGCCATTCCCCAAAGCTAGTCCATCTGCTGAGTCTAGTCAGCCTATCTAGAGTCCCTTGTTTTAGGAAGATCAGCTCTTCCTCACCTAGCATCCATCAGTTGCCAACATTCCTTTAGATAAGATTGGGGTTTGCTGTTCATTTTCCGAGTTCTATGCTGGGTTACTGTCTTGGAGTCTCTTGGGCCACCCTGGCCAAAACTGAACAAAAAAGAAGAAATAAAGAAGGCCAAGAAGCATCTTAAAAGGTGTTCAACATCATTAGCAATTAGGGAAATGAAAATTAAAACCACTTTAAGATTTCATCTTACCCCAGTCAGACTGGCTAAGATCAAGAAAACAA